TTAGTTTTATTTATTTTTAAAGATTTTATTTATTTGTCAGAGAGATAGAGAGCAAGCACAAGCAGGGGGAGCAGCAGAAGCAGAGGGAGAAGCAGACTCCCCACGTAGCAAGGAACCAGATGCAGGACTCGATCCCTGGGCTCTGGGATCATGACCTGAGCTGAAGGCAGACGCCTAACCAACTGAGCCACTCAGGCGTCCCATTTCCTTGCTTTTTTAAGGCTGAATTCTGTTCTGTTGTACAGATATACACCACGTTCTGTTTATCAGCCTATTTTGTCAGTAAAGTTTTACCAGACACAGACAAGCCCATTCATTTCCCTATTGTCTGTGGCTGCCTTCCGCACTACAACAGTAGAGGTGAGTGGTAGCCAACGTAACTGTACGGCTCCTAAAGCCAAAGCTACTTACCCCTTACAGAACATGCTTGCTGACTCTTGTTCTACTGGAGAGACTCTGAAGGGTTAAGAGAAGAGATGTGGAGGCTGCATTAGAGGGAGGAAGGCAAGAGGCAGGAAGACCTTTCTGGTTTTGTGGGAACAGGGACACAGGTGTGAAGATGGGGCTTGCCCTCAAGAAGCTCATAGTCTAATTGGGGGGAAAAAGCCGGTTTACAAAGTTGACTTGTTCAGTGATGGGTTAGACATTCAGGGAAGGAAGAGACCTGAAAGGACTGAGTCCTCAGGAAAGACTTCATAGAGGGCTGGGATTTGGGATGGGATGGATCAGATTGACACAGGGTATGGAAGAATGCACCTCCTTCTCAGGAGGCCTTCTCAGCCACACCTTACCCATGAGGGTAAGACAGCGAAAGCAGTTAGATCTGTGCCTGGCATACGGTAAGATTTCCACTACTCTTGTAGTAATGTAAATTCCACAAGAGCAGGAGTTGTATCTGTTTTGTTCACTGTAGTAACACCTATGCTTAGAACTCAGTAGCTGCTTCAGTAAATATTTATGGAATGAATAAATCACTGTAACTCTCAATAATGCTTTTTAGCTATTTAATTTGTACTGTGGAAATCAAAGAGCTGGACCTCTCACACTGGTCTGTCAATTCATTTATTACACTAAAGAGTAATTTATTTATTTATATATTTATTTATTCATTAAGTTTTGTTTTTTTTTTTACTTTTAAAGCAGTGGCTATTTTTACTGTTTATTGCTAGAGATAGTCATGTGGTAAGTGGTGGTAAGTCAGAGGTACTGGCAAGAAAGGAAAAAGAGGAGAAGAAAACAATGTTAATAATCCTAAAGATAGCCACTCAAAAATAATTCATTAACTTACTTAAAAAATATTTATTAAACTGCACCTGTGTTCTGGAGGTCCAAGGGTGAACAAAATAGACACAGTTGCTGCCTAAGAGGGGCTGATTGACACTGAAACTGGTAATTACAAATGTAAAGTGTGTAACTTACAGACATGCAAGTGCCATGGAAACTTAAACAAGGACATTTAACCTAGTGTGGGACACCAGAGGGTGTTTCCCTGAGGAAGTGACAAGTCCTGATTATTGGTTGCTGTGTGACAAAATACTCCCAAACTTAGTGTCTTAAAACAATTTATTGCCTCTCACCGGTCTGGGCTACCAGGTTCATCTGGACAGTTCTCAGTTGGGATCTCCTATGAGTTGCAGTTAGATACTGACTGGGGCTGAAATCCTTTGCAAGCTTGACTGGCTGTCATCCAAAATGGCTTCTTCACGCACATGCCTGGTGCCTCCCTGTTGCAACGTGACCTCTCTTTCTAGCAGATAGCCTTACTTCCTAGATAACAGCTCAGAGCTCCAAGAGATAGGAAGAGGAAGCTGCCAGGCCAGGTAAGGGCTGTACCTCAAATGGGCACAGCATCATTTCTGCCACACTCTATTGATCAAAACATCACAAGTCCTGCCCAGATTCAAGGGAGTGGAAAAATAAAGTTAGCTCTTGATGGAGGAGTAACAAGATCTCATTGCAGAAAAGCATGTGGGGTAGAATTTGTTGTGGCCATCTTTAGAGAATACAAGTCTGTCACTTGATGTTAGGTTGAAGGATAATTTGGCATTAGATAGGCAAAAGAGAGAGAGGGAGTAACCCCTCCAGCAATGTGGACAGGACTGGAAGTCAAAAAGGTAAACCTCGGTGGGACTGAAAGACCTGAGCGACTGAGTAGAGGAAGAAGAGGAAGACAGGAAAACGCTGGGTCACATAGAGAAGAGTAGAGGTTTTTAGGGTATGATTAGAAGGCTAAATGCATATTTCTATCAGAAAGGAAGGGGAATAGCTGCGTAAGTTCCAAACAGAGGTAATGGAAAGCACTAAATAGTGAAAATCAGAATTCCTATAATGGGAAAGACAGGTTAGCCTAGAGAAGGACTTGGGGTGGAGTGGGTATGGGTCAGGGAAATCTTGCCCCAAATCACGTAGTTCATATGAGACTATTGGGAGTTGAACCAGAACTGACTCTAGAGCTTAGACCCTTTCCACTATATTGCTCACCACACTGCCTATGGAAAGTCATATAATAAATTTGAAAATCTCTTGCTAATCAAAAAGTAATTTACTCTTTCTAATTTGTTCCTAGCCATTCAGGCAAATACCTTCTAAATTTCTTAAGCAACTCAAAGGGCACCTTCTTTTGAAGACTTTCCTAATGCATACAGAAGTGTCCATGTGATCTCATAATCTCTTGGCCTCGGGGTCCCCTTCTGTGAAAGGTTGGAGTTGGAAGGATGACTTCAAAGTTCCCTTCCTTGTCTAACAGTCTATGGTTTTAGGATGTGTGGGGTAACAGTGTTCCACAAGCTAGCAGTGATGGCCATCAATGGTTGTATGCTTCTAACCAGCCTATGAATACCTAAACAGAGAGCACAAAGAGTATATTTCTAGACATTTTGATTTAAAATAAGAAAGAAAGAATCACTTTGAAGGTATTTACTCTCTCTTTCTAGTATGATAACAGACTGAATTTTAAGCACTGGGTAAGGAAAGGAATATGAGTAATGCAATCTTAGATGAATAACTAACTGCTCTGCACCTTGATGCCTCGTCTATAAAATGGGAAACTTATGTTAAAAAAAACAAAATTTGAGTGAGTAAACTTGAAGATAAGTTTGGCTGTATTCAGCAATTCATGAATCAGGTGACATCCCATCTAGTAAATAGAAAGCTCTACAAAATGGAAGTCTTTTACAGGCAGAAGGGGTAGAAGCAAGGTCACCTTCCTTTGGGGGGAGGGCAGGAATCTATGGGGCAGATTACCTCAGTAGCGCTGATCAGGTAATTCCAGATTTACTGGTTAAAGGTCACATTCCTGGGAAAGGCGGAAAGTACTGAGGCTGAGGTTAGGTATAAGTCAATTTGCTGATGTGGGGCTCCGCACAAGTGACTCCATTTTGTGCCCATTATTTCTTTTTTTAGCACTTAGACTTTATTATGTTCATATGAAATTTTAGTAAAGAAAGAACTAAAAGTTTCACGATTTATTATGTATTTCTTTTTCATAACCTCTGGTGTAGAAGATGAAACTAAAAATCCCATGTTTCAAAATTAGAGAAGTAGTGAAACCCTATTGCACAATTCAAGAGGCTTAGGGCTTAACAGTAAACACAGGAAGAGAAACCCTGTTTGCAACTATTATAACTGATGTTTATCTCTAAAAGTCAATCAGTGCCTTACTGCATAAGGGCTAACATAGTAAGTACCAAAATATAAAATGTAGACAAATTCATAGTCATTATCACTTCACAAGAGGTTAACCACAGAGTTGCTGTGAACTGCAAACCTCTTGACACATTTTAAAATAAAGGGCTATAGTATGGTGATTAACATAACATAATAAAAAATAATAATAAAAAAATAAAGGGCTATATATACTAGTTTAATTTACATATATTAAGCAATGTGGATTGGTACTGTTGATTTAAATGTAATGGTTAATGACCTAAGTGCTAAAAATGATTTTAATGAACCATAAAATCATGCAGTTTTAAACAGAAAAAGCACATCTATGAACCTTTGCAGGGACATGCAGAGCTGTTGCTAATTGCCTAATTTTACGTACTTGTAAGTAAGTAAGGGCAAAAAGCCCCTTGCATGGTGGTTTTGTTTTTCTGTTCATTTTTTGGGTACACATACAAAGGTGAATGTGACTGTTGAGCACATGAAATGTAATAGGGTGACTGAGAAACTTTATTTGATTATTATAAATTGAAATGGAAATAGTCGTATATGGCTGGTGTCTACCGTATTGGATAGCATCACTGTCAAGTTCTGTGCTAATTAGACCTTGGAGATCTAGCCTTTCCCAGAGATAGTGAGTTAGTGCTCATGAAGGGTATTTTCTGCCCAGCCCTGAGGCTGGACCTGTACTCCTCGGCCAGTCCTCAAAACCTCTGGGAGTTGGGAGCCTGAAGCCTTTTTTTGAAGCTGACTGGAGGAATTCTGAAGTCCATAGGCATTCAGTAGGTATTACATAATCCAAGCCTGGGAAGCACAAACACAGTAATTTTGGGGTTTAATAAAAGGGCAGAGCCTCCCTGGGTCCTTCCCCCTTGCGCTTCTTAGCCTGACAGACCATCAGCGCTTTCAAAGTTTGTGAAAGGACTCATGCATTTGTGACTTTTAGATTGATTATGATGTAGGCCCAGACACAGAATCCTAGTCTCTCTGCTTACTATTTTAGGTCAACATTTTACAGAGATTTGTCAGGACTGTCTTTTCACAACTGTTCTCAAAGGCTTTTCTGTATGAGTAAAAGCTGTTGACCTTAATTCCCTTTATCAAGGGTTCCACCCTGCTCTGTGTAGGTTCTAGCACTAAAGCCGGTAGTGATGTGTACTCTTGACAGTGGAACTTCTTTTTTTTTTTTTGACAGTGGAACTTCTGTGTAGGTGCTGTCCACCTCGGGGCATGTCTACATAGAAGAGATGTAAAGATGGGGAAATCATTGGGCAGATTCATGTACTATAGAATACAGCGAACCACGTGTCAATGTTGTGCTGTTTCTTTTCTTCCAGGAAATTAAGGATTGCATGGCATTGCTTTGACAAGCACTTCCTGTTATCTTTACAGAGATCTCAATGAAGAATGATCTCAAAGGAGCATTTGTCTTCCCACATCTCTGCTAATGGCCAGTAGCTACTAGCAAATGCTCTTAATGACTGAAAAAACATCAACTATCCTTGTGCTTGGCCTGCTCTAGGTAGTCGAATGAAGGTTTCTTTCAGTTGTTTCCAGAACTCAGTTGCTGAAGCGCACCTCTCTTTGTTGGGTGAATGAATGTTCATGAAGCCCTTTCCTGAACCAGCTGAGGAGCCTTAGGCCTCTTGGAGCCTGTGACATGGAAGCTTTGGAAGTGGATGATATCAGCCCAGCCTTGGAAGTTACTGAGGATTTCTTTAGTACTTTTGATACTAAGCTAGAAAAGGCTGTGCAGCAAGCTGAGGTTTATGGGATTCAGGAAGTCCCTGAATTGGTGGGGCACGAGGTCCTCACTAACATAACAGACAATGGTGCTATCAGAAATGTTGCCTCCCTGGGCAAGGGGGGCCTGATTTGGGACCACTGTAAGAGCAAGCTCTTAGAAACCAAAGCTCAAAATGTCTTCCCTGCCAAAGAACAGTTTATGGTTCAGAAGGGGACAGCCCCAGATAATCTTTCGTGGATGGAACAAAAGGAAGCATCGACCTTTAATTTTTTCAACATCTGTCCGCGTCGGAGGGACAGGCCTCGCTCCGTCAATGACTTATTGGATGAGACCTCTACTTTCAAGCCAGGCCATGCTCGGTCAAGGTCAGATATTACCCAGGTGGACTGGAGGCTAGTCCTCCAAACCATGCCTCTGCAGCAGCAACCGTGTCTTCGGGGCCCTCATTTCACCAGGACAGCTTTTCTGTCATCCTCACCAAATAAGGTCGAAGATGCTCAAGGGAATACTGGTATGTTTTTATATCTGACTGCTATTGAACAATCATTGACTTTCCTTTGTCTGTCTTACATTTACCTCAGGGCAAGTGTACTCTCCAGTGTCCCTGTCCGGTTTTGCTTACTTAAGCTCCCTCTTCCATTTGCTTTCACGCTTTACCTGAAGCCTCAGCCTTGGTGTCTTCATAAGAAGTGCTGAGTGAAAAGTTGACTGTGGTTAATTCTCCCTTTCTAATCTTGTGTGTAAGAATCTGCATAGTCTCATAATTCATGTAGTATTTGCCTTTGTACAGAGTTTGATACTGCTTGTTCACATCAGTAGATGTTCATCTGATCACACACTGGGCATAGCCTTGTGCTAGGAAGCGTTTAAAGATGTGTAAAGACACCATCCTTGGCTTAAAGAACTTCTCACTTAAGCCGAGGGGATCAGACACTTACAAACACTCAAGAAGGCACCAGAAGTGAGAGGAAGTAGAAGTCAACTGAAATATTTGTGAGGGGGCTTTTGTTTTACTTTATATTGTTGGGATTTATTTCAATGAGCAGGTGACAGTGACTGAGAGGACAGAGGAAGAAGACACTGTGCTGGGTTTGTTAGGAAGGGCTTATGAGAGTTCATGGAGTTTCAGCTGGACCGGGAAAGACACTCAGATGCAGAAAGGGGGTCGCGGTAGAGGACACTCGGTCAGGATTACAGCTGGAACCAAGGTGAGGAGATGAGAGGTGCAGGGGGGAGCAGAGGATCCCATGGAGGCTAGTGGGAGGGAAAGGTGGGAGAGGTTGGTTCAGACCTCATGGTGTGGGGCCCTGAATTTCTCTTTTTCCTCATACTTCATGCACAGTACATTTGCACATGAATTCTGTGAGGTGTGACAAACCATGTCTTCATTTCCCACAGCATTTTCTTTTAGATATCTTAAACATTTAATAATATTACTATTATTAATTAAATTTGAAACTCATCGGGGCACCTGGGTGGCTCAGTCGGTTAAGCATCTGCCTTTGGCTTAGGTCATGATCTGGGGATCCTGGATCGAGCCCCGCCTCGGGCTCCCTACTCAGCAGGGGGTCTTCTTCTCCCTCTCCCCCTGTTCCTCCCCCCTACTCGTGCTTACTCTCTCTCTCTCTCTCACTCTTTTAAATAAGTAAATAAAATCTTTAAAAAAAATAAAAATAAAGGAATTTGAAACTCATCAATGCGAATCAAAGTGACACTTCCAATCACTCCTACTTTACTCTCGCATAGACTTTTATAAAAGGGCCTCACAGTAAGTATTTCTTAAATTGGCCTTCCTGAAGTGTGCTTTCTCATATTATGAACGGGTTTGTTAGTGGGAAGTGAACCATACATTCCCTCTCTCACTGATGTGTGATCAGCTGTTTACTATCTTCTGGTCACTGAGAAAGGGACTGTTTATTACCCATTGTTTTATCCTCAACATGGTGCTCTGAACATAGTTTATGCTCAAAAAAATTGTTTAAAATGTGAAATGAATGTAATTCTGATAAGCTGCTAAATTAACAACAATAACTTCTTTCGCAGTTTTCGTCTTTCTAGAAAAAAAAAACCTCCACCCTCTTTTCTGAGGGCCTCGCGCCATCATCTAGCATTTCATACCTTGCACATCCTCTCTGTGAAGCTCTTTAGCAGCAGTGAAAAATGAAGATTTGCTTTCATCTCAAAGGCTGCCCTGCACTAGCCTTGTGATAAGAGAAAATCAAACAGATATGGCTTATAAAGTGGCCCCTCGTGTTGGCAGCATGTTGCCCTGGCCTTGGAGGGGTATCCAGATACCTCTGAGACTCCCGGGTTGCCTAGGTACAGTTAGGATTCCCCTTTCTGGAAGAATCTGACTGCTGCTTGGTGAGCACAAAGCCTCGTGCGATAATTAGGCTTTGCCATTTAGTCTTTCTGAAGGCAATCATTTGAAGTAATTTTGAAGTAATTTTTTTTTTTTTTAGATTTTTTTTTTTTTAATTATTTATTTGACAGAGAGAGAGATAGGGAAAGCAGGAACACAAGCGGGGATGGGGGGAGAGGGAGAAGCAGGCTTCCTGCCGAGCAGGGAGCCCGATGTGGGACTCAATCCCAGGACCCTGGGATCATGACCTGAGCCGAAGGCAGCCGCTTAACGACTGAGCCACCCAGGCTCCCAATTTTGAAGTAATTTTGAGGTAATTCTGCATCACTCCTCAACTCTTCCCAGTTCCCTGATAGTGTTTCTTTAAAAAAGATTATTGCTTTGGATTTGAAGGTCATTTCTTTCCTAGCTTCTTGCTTGGGATGTATGAGAGCAGAATACATCAAACAGACTAACAGCCTACTTGTCACTATCAGAGCCAACACCCGAGCACCCAGTGTGTTTGCCCTCCGGGTGAGAGAGCCCAGGCGGGAAGAGGAGGGGAAAATGGTGGCAGTAACAAATACTGTGCACTGACTATTTTAAGTTCCTTACAAGTAGTAGCTTATTTAATTCATATAATACTCCCGTGATGTAGATATTTTTACTGACCCCATTTTGGGGATGGTGAAACCTGAGGCACAGAGAGCTTAAGTAATATGCTTAGAGTCCCATAGCTGGTACTAAGTGGATCCTTGATTTGAACTTGGGCAGTCTCTCTCCAGAGTCCACGCTCTTAACCACTAAGCTGGAGCTGTACCCTTACCTTGGAAGCCAATAGTTCTCAGTCTCCAGAACCCTCTACTTTGAAAGCCTTATTAGTAATCAGGCCCTGTGGGTGTAGAGGGTGAGAAGTGGTGTGGAAGAGACAGACCTGGATGATGTTCATTGAACTAAAATTAATCCCTCAGGAGATCACCAAGCCTGGAAAAACTGAGACACACAAAGCGGCCTAGCTAAACAAGGATTGTTTTTTGCGTTTAACATATTCACTAAAATACATGGACAGTGCTGAGCTGGCCACCGTTCTTTAGGGGACCAGTGAGCCCACAAAAGGAGGACTGTAACTTTGCCCTTCATTTTCTTGAATGCTGGCTATACAGAAGAGCTTAAGTGAACTGACGCCGTGGATTTGTTACTATGGAAAGAGGGCTTTGGGGTTTTGTTCCATCTTTCAGCTGCCTTTCTCAGTCTTACTTAGAAGCCTATGAATGAATGTATTCTATAAGTTTTATTGCCTCAGGCAGAGATAGACCCAGGACAGGCTTCTTACAAGGGAATGTTGCCAGTGCTAGGAAGATGAAGGGTAGAGTCAGTGGGTCCTACCAGGTTGATGGAGTGTGGCTTGAACCCAACCCAGTTAAGACTGTCTGCACTATCTGAGCGTGGGATAGTGATGTTGAAAAGGTTAGGTCACGAATCACTGGGAAGCACTAGATCTAAGGCAAGACGGAAACAGAGACAGGTTTTTTCTCCCCCAGCTTTATTGAAGTATAATTGACAAAGTTGGAAGGCATTTAAAGTGTATGTTGTAATGATTTGATATACATGTACGTTGTGGAAGGATTCCCCCTGTCTAGTTAGTTAGCACATCCATCACTTCACATCAGAGGCAGTTGTTTCTAAAAATTCTCAAGACAGGTAGTGGAGACAAAGCTTCCTCATGGTCAGCTCTTTTCCTTCCTGCCATGCCCTGGGCAGCCTGTAGCAAGGTGTGACAGGGAGCTAGCCCTGGGGGAAGTTCCTAAACTTAGCTCCTGCCAGAACAGATCATTGCTAGTCCTGGCACTAGTCTGAGTTCTGTACAGACATGCTCTTGACCAACCCTTTCCCCTTTATATCACTGTCATCCTGTTCTAGTTCAGTGAGTAATAATACAGCCATAGGCAGCCTGGAATTTCCCATGAGATTGGAAGAGAGGGTCCTAACATCATAGAATTATAATCCAAATGTAAGTATGAGTTAAGGTAAGAATATAGAAAGTCATATGAACATGCGGATGCTAGGTATGTTATCAATATGAAAAACAGATCACACATACACACATACTTACACCTATAAACGTATACACGTGATAGAGGAAGGTGGGGGTGTGTGGAAAGAACACTCAATTAGGACTCATCGTGTGGGTTTGGAAAAATGACTCGTCTGTTGCTTTTGATTTAAAAACCTAGTGAAGCAGGTTAAATTGTCTCTAAGATCCTCCCAAATCTAAAATTGTATCATTTTAGGATATATTTGAACTGACCCTGCTTCTTGGTTGTATGGGAGCTAATTAACTATAGTCAGATCGGTAAATTGGTAATGGAAAGTCGTCATGGAAATATGGGTATGGTTGAAGAACTTCTGTGTGCCTTGTAACCTACTCTACTTTTGGGTGAACTGCTGTGGTTGCAATTTTAAAAATCTTTTTTCTTTTTCTTTTTTTTTTTTAAAGAAATCCTTTGCATTAGCTGTGGAGCTCTGAAACTTAATGGACTGCCGAACCTGACTTCCTTTTCCCTCCCTGACTGTGTTCACATTTTCATGTGCTTGGCAAGGGCAGTGGTCAACTAGCTTTTGTTTCAGTTGGTTTCACTCTCTAGTGACCTGGTACCATTTCTATGCCTCTATCTTCTTGTTCTAAGTACTTTAGGAGAAGGTCTCAAGCAGAGATTTTCTTTAGAGCTAGAAAGACCATGGCAGTATGGTTTCTTTATCTTGAGTTTTATGTTACTCTCTTTCCATTCCCTTTTTCCCCATCTTTCACTTAAAAAAAAAAAAAAAGCCAAATTTGGGACTTATACTAAAATGACTGCTTTTTCAATTATGATGTTTCTGAAAAGCCTTGGAGCCAATAGAGGTGGGAATATTCCTGCAGGCTTAGAACAAGTGAGGTCACCAGGACATGGTCTCTTGCTGAATTTATGATTCACCCTTCAGCAAGATTAGTCACTACAAAGAAGTTGCTAAAATAGGTCACAGAAAGTTGATTTTATATGGTTGTATAGTTTCCACTGGTTACATTATTGAATGTTGGTCTGTGGCAGCTATTGGAAAGCCAACACTCCTTATCAACAGCCGATATCCTGATTCTAACATTTCTATATGAGAACTCTGAAAATGAAGTT